GAAATGCAATAAATTTGTTTAAAATTAATTGTAATCGTTAAAGTATCTCAAATTGGACCAAGTTAATTGATTTTCAAAAACTATATATGTAACTCCAATCCATGACATCCAAATAACCAATTGTATAATCATATGTATATTTTCTCTCTCACATTCATATGGGAGGGTTGAAACTAAAAAAATTGTATTATTTTTATTGACAAATGTTTGCTTATTTTATATATATATCATTAAATTCTAGGAATTAAAAACAACGAGAGATGGACATTTTCGTTAATTGGTGAGAAAAACTTCTATAAAATTTTTCCAGTTTATTGTTGCCAAAATATCTTGGAAATGATGTAAATGGCCATAATGTCCCCTGAATTTTTGTTTGACTGCCTAATAGTGGAGGTAACTTTTGGGCATTCTCACAATTTTACAGAATATTTTCGCAACCTAATTCCATGTATAAACTTTTCATTTATTTTAACTTTATTAAGTTTTTGACATGAAATGACCATAACGTCCCTTGACAGTTTGATTAGCAATCAATTGGTGAAGGTATTGAGGTAATAAACCAACTGTTAAGGAAAATGGTCTTAAGGTAACTGTAAATCTAGACATACTCTTTTATGATTTTGTTTTTACCATTGTTCCAAGTTTTAAAGTAAAAAGTAGTGCTACACACACAACCTTTCTATACCCTTTTTATACAAATTTTCTCTCATAAAATTATGTGGCAAAAGGTGATTGGGTGAAAGTTTATTTTAAATTTAAAATCATCCAAACATCTTTTATTTCATAACTTTGCAAGAGAAAGCTTGTATAAAAAAGGTTATAATATATGTTGATTAGTTATTAACCATAACAGTTTTTTTTTTTCAGTTTTTTTAATATATATTATTATTTTTAATCTCAATTGTTTTTTCGGCAAGTATTTACTATTTTATTTCTAATTAGGAAAAAAAAAATCAATTTAAATGAAATTTGATCTCATAGAAATGTAAATTACACGCGTGTAAAAATTAAGAACGAAATTTTGTCAAGAAGCTTATTAACCTCTTTAAAATATCTAATTACAAAATTTAAATTATCTTTAACGGTACTTTACAAAATGTTTTGAGGAAATAGATCAAAAATTTGAATTTTGTATTTTCAAAATTTGGGAACAGATTTGGTATCATTTATAAAAGCAGTATTCTGAAAATAAAAACAATGAAAACACGTTTTCTTTTTTTTTTTTGAAAAAAAAAATATATTTAATCTTCTTTTCATAATGATTTAATTCTTAAATTTACTTTAAAAAAAGTTATAAAATACGGTAGAACAGAAAATAAAACATTTCACAATATTCAAATTTTTAACTTTTTAAAAGGCAATCTCCTATTTATTGTGAAATTAATGGTTTTCTTGGCTATTAGCACGGAATAATTCAATCATAAAATTAAATGTAATGTTCACTCTTATGTTTTTTTTATCGCTACTCTTATGCCAAAGGTGGTCTTTTGATTTAGCTTTAGCTTTTTCTTTATTGGATTCTTCTTTGTTTATATTAACAAGAAACAAAATCAAAACGCATTGTCCATATTACTTAAATGCTCTATTTTAAAACCCAGACCGGCCCGACCAGTTTAACCAATCTAATCGAGACCTGGGGCCTTGGCCAAGCCGGTCACCATTTCCACTGTTCACCAATTTCAATCTCAAACAGTGGCGGACCTAGGATTTTTGCCCGGAGGGGCCCCGTCGCTCCGCCACAATAAAGAAAATGGTTGTTTATCTCTCACAATTTCTGCAATAATTTTCTTGGTCGTCAAATGAGCACAAAAACTAGTTAGTTGCCTCTGGATTTTGGGGGCCATCATTTGATGGTTTTTCGGAGCATTTCCTAGCACAACTTTCTTTATGTCGTCATTGTGATTGGATAGAAACTTCAATAGTTCCATAAAGTTACCTTGATTTTCAGATTCAACCGACTCGTCATGACCACGAAATGTTAATCCCTGATGTAAAAGAAATCAAATGCAATCAATTGATGCATTCAAGCGAATACGATAATCCAATTTGCCCTTTTTTGACGTACAAGCAAGATTTACATTGATGTGTTTCCTTTGGTTCATCAAATCAACACACTTGGCATGAATTGGTTAGAAATGAAGTTTAATTGTGTAAGATGGAGGCCATTCGTTTATCTAGAGCAGGCGCCCATTGTGTGGTTTAGAAATGAAGTTTTAAAAGTGATAATGACAATCTTCTTTCTCACATACAAACAAGAGCAAGGAAAACAAAGTCAAAGATAATAGAAAAGATTTCTTTAACCTATTATTTGTCTCACTAAAACTGGGTCTGCCACTGCTGAAACTTTTCACCCAAACCCAATACTCTAAAACTGTAGGCATCAATAAGATTCTTCAAAAGCAGTAATATCATTAAATAAGGAAATACTAACCTTCAGGCTTCAGGAGACGTGAATGAGAGAAGTTGAGAGGGTGATTTTTTTAATTTATGGGTTGAGCTTCAGCCGCATGTAAAAAGGGCGTTGGGAACTGGGGAAGAAAAAGTTGAATAAGGAAAATACAAAACCTAACTTTTTCATTTTTTAACCTTCTCTCTTTTTTTTTTAATCTTCCAAAAAAAACTTTGCAATTTTTTTTGAAAAGTTGAGGGCAGGCCTAGGCCTACCCTCAAGGGGCCTGGGTCTGCCCCTGATCTCAAACCCTAGGGAGGAGAGCAACGGTCAGCGAGCACACGGTGGCGAGGATGTTGAAGGTTTTGGAGAGGAAGTGTCGGCAAGTTGAAAAGTGGCGACGAAGGTGATTTCTGGTGAATAAATCGATCGAAAAAAAGGTAAAAGTTGCACGATCACAGTAGTAGGCTGTTGTCGGCAATTGGTAGAGTGAACAGGGGTGTGAGATGGGTTTTTGTCAGGAGGCTGAAGAGAGTGTTTTCATAGTGATGGGGAGTGTTGTCGACGCAGGAAAAATGCCCTATTTGGCCTAGGTTGTCAATGCTGACGGTGGTGTTTTTTGTCGCAAAATGTTTCTATTTCGACCAAGTCTTGGGCATATTTGCTGGGGAATCGCTCAAAGGATGAGTGGGATTTGCATTTGTTGTGTCACCGTCGCCAACCAATTGGCCACCGATTTGCATTTAGGGTATGTTTGCTGGATTTCAAACTTGTAGGGTGTAATTTTTTACCGGTGTGTTTTCTAGATTTCAAAATTTTTGGACACACTAACGCCACCGGTTTGATCCGTCGTTCGAACTCATTCAATTGGTCAACCTGAGACCTGACCATTTTGTCGGGTTTCACCCCGTGTCAGTTATTAAAACACTGCTTATATGGAACTTTGTAAAATGGGTGCAAAGATGTTATAAGATAAAAATATGTATGGATATCACTTGACTATCAAATCTTTCATAGTAAATAATGTTTTGATTAAAAATAAAGAATTATAAACCTTAAAAGAGATTAATGTTTGATTATTACCAAAGCAAAACATTGTGCTAATAGGTGCTTTTCTTTTCCTATCATTACGCCAAGTATTTATTACCTTTACTACTTTTAGCTTTGGATTTCCATCATGCAAGTCAAGTATCTTTTTCATATTTTAAGTTTGTGTGCTGATCAAGAATTAATGTTATTACTCTTGTCTATAAACAGCAGTAACATTGTCTTACAATTAATTTTTACAGCTACCTTTTGAAAACCAATTTGTAATAGAGCAAACGAAAACAAATGGCAGAAGGCATTCTATTTAGCATTGCGAGGAAAATCTTGGAAGGGTTGGGGTCCTCGACTGTCCGAGAAGGAAAATTGGCATGGGGTGTTAAAGGTGAGATTAAAAAACTTGAGAGCACTGTCAACACTATCAAACTTGTAATTCTCGATGCTGAGGAGCAGCACAGCAAAAACCGAGAGGTAACAGATTGGATCCAAAGGCTCAAGGATGCATTTTATGATGCAAATGACTTGTTAGATGATTTCTTCACTCAACTTCGACGGGGAGAGGTATTGAGTCGAAATAAATTGGCAAACAAGGTACGGATCTTTTTCTCCAAATCAAATCAAATTGCAAATAGTCTTAGAATGGCTCATAAGATTAAGACTATTAGGGAGAAACTAGATGAGATTAAAAATGATAGGCAGTTCCACCTTTCTGAGCGTCCTATTGAAAAAGGAGTCATAAATATAGAAAAGGAAACACACTCTTTCATATGTGTAGAAACAGTAATCGGAAGAGATGATGATAAAAGTAATGTTATAAGACTTCTATTGGACTCAAATGATGATAAGAATGTTTTAGTTGTTACCATAGTTGGACTTGGAGGAGTAGGAAAAACCACACTTGCTCAACTTGTTTATAATGATGAGAATATCATAAACCATTTTGAGTTAAGGATGTGGGTGTGTGTCTCTGATGATTTTACTATGAAGATAATTGTTGAAAAGATAATAAAATCTGCTACTCGTAAAGAACTTGGAAATTTTCATTTGAACGAATTGCAGCAATTCCTTCGAAAAGAAATTGATGGGAAAAGATATCTACTAGTTTTGGACGATGTATGGAATGAGAATCATAATAAATACTAGTTACTACATGTAGTGAAGTAGTTGCTAAGGTTACTAGCAAACTTGAATCTTATGTATATCCCTTGAGAGGACTAGATGAAAAAAAGTCTTGGTCTTTGTTTACCCAAAAAGCTTTTGAACCTGGGAAGGAACCAAAAGATTCAAAATTATAGAGTTTGGAAAAGAGATTGTGGCAAAGTGTGGTGGAGTTCCTGTTGTCCTAATGACAACAGGACAATTACTTTATGGTAATAATAAGGAAGATGATTCGTTGAATTTTAAGGACAAAGAAATGTCAAAAGTGATTAAAGAAGAAAGTGATATTTTACCATTACTCAAGCTCAGCTATGATCATCTCCCTTCAAACTTGAAACAATGCTTTGCTTATTGTGCATTGTTTCCTAAGGATTATAAGATTAAGAAGCAATAATTAATTCACCTTTGGATGGCGCAAGGGATTCTTCAGACATCAAACAATGAATGTCCAGAAGATGTTGGTAATAAGTATTTTATGGCTTTACTTGGGAAATCATTTTTCCAAGATCCACAACATGATAGATGGGGCAATGTAACCGCATGTAAGATGCATGATCTTATGCATGACCTTGCACAATCAGTTGCAGGAACTGAATGCATCATGCAAACTTTTGATAAGGTTGAATGTGTGGATGTAAGATGTCGTCATTTATCACTTGACTGTGGTGAAGTAAAACGATCATGGACATTTCCAGTTGTATTATATAGTGTCAAAAATATAAGAACTTTACTTTTATTTTATTGATTAAACTGGGGTTTCAACTTGAATGGTGGTGATGAAATTTTAACAAGTTATAAGTACTTACGAGCATTAGATTTTGGAGAGTTAAGGTTTCAGAAATTATTGAGTTCAAACGGTGAACTTTTGAGTTTAATTGGTGAACTGAAGTATTTACGGTATCTCAATTTTTCTTGTGTGGATATTAAAATACTCTCTAATTCACTGTTGAGACTATTAAATTTGGAAACATTAGATCTTTCTTTCTGTAACGAACTTAAGGAATTACCAAGAGATATTAAAAAATGGTGAACCTTAGACATCTTATAAATAAAAAATGTGATTCTTTAGTTGGAATGCCATATGGACTAGAGCATTTGACTAATCTTCAGACTTTACCACTATTTGTAATAAGTGAGAGAATTATGGAAGCCGACAGAAAAAGCAAACATAGTGGGACAAAGGAATTAAATGGGTTGAAGAACTTGAGAGGAAAACTCAAAATTAAGAATTTAAAATTTGAGGAAAGTAGCAAGTTGGCCAACTTAGAAGGGAAGCAATTTCTTCGGTCTCTAACGTTGGATTGGGGGAGAAGTGATGATGGAAAGGTTCAAGGAATTGATGAAGTGGGGAGAAGTGATGTTGGAAAGGTTCAAGGAACTGATGAAGTGGTGCTAGAAGGTCTAAAGCCACACCCAAATTTTAAGGAAATTAGTGTAAGATCATTTGTGGGTGTTAAATTGTGTGATTGGCTTTCCTCCCTCACAGATTTAACTTCAATTAGTATAAAAAAATGTAGAAGATGCCAACATATCCCACCATTGGATTAATTTCCTTATCTGAAGAGTTTGTTTCTTAGTCATCTAGATGATTTGGAGTACATTTCAGAGGAAGCAAGTAATAGTTCTTCCTCATTATCAACAACATTCTTCCCATCCCTTGAGCAAATCACCCTTTATGATTGTCCTAAATTAAGGGGATGGTGGAGGAAACTTGATTATGAAGATACAGAGTTGCCTTCATTTCCTTGTCTTTCCAAATTAGATATCCAAAATTGCCCCAATTTGATATTGATGCCGATATATCCATCTCTGGAAGAATTAAAATTGCTCAAGACCAGCTCGAAACCGCTGGAGTGGACGATGACGATGACGTTGATGAATAAAGGGGAACCATCAACTTCCTCTTGCTTTTCTGCCCCTCTCCCCAATTTAAAGTCAATGCTTATGATTAAAATTTCTGATCTAGAATCTCTTCCAATGGATGGGATGAAACTTCTCTGGTGAATTTGAAAATTTTGTCATGTCCAAAATTTACTCAAGTGGATCAAGCACTAAAATTTCTTCCCTCTCTCCGAAATTTGGAAATTACATCCCATGAAGAAGGTGAGCCGGAATAGGAAGGTATTCGTGGTATGGGTCTTTGTTACATACCTGATTGGATTTGAATTCAGAGGAGAGTTCTTCGTATACAGGTTAATACTTTCTCTTCAAATTTATCAATCGACCTTTCTTAGTGTGTTTAACTTACTTCTTATTTCTTGTTTTTGAGTAAATAATTGTTACTAATTAATTCTTTTCTTTCAAATGTCTTCTGTTTCAGTTTGTTGTTATTCTATTTGCCATTCTTTTGTTGCTTCGACAAATACGTAGATGCAAGAATTATCAACTATCTGGGTAATATTTCTTATTCTTCCGTTTACTAAGATGAAGAAAAAATTCAAAGAAATGTATATATATGTTAATTATAATGTTTTGTGGTTATCATTTAGATGAAGTCAAGAGTTGTGTACCTTGCAATAGCCAGAGCATTGAATGGAAGGTGGATTTTTAATTAGCCACTAACTGTTTCATGATTTTAACTCTGTAATTACATATACGTACGTAATTGATTCAAATGAATTTTAGTTTGTTCAGATTCTTTGACTTGGAATATGAAATCTCAAGGAATTAATGATTTGAGAGTTGCTTTTGTTTTCATGGTAAAGGTTTGATATAGTACTCTCAAAACCTCTCTCGCTTAATATTTTTGTATTTTCTTGTGGGTTAATAGCTGAAATTCTCTTTCAGTATCTCTAATGTATAGTTAACTCCTTGAAGTATACCTAATTTACAATAACTTCTTTAAGGTAATAGTTAGTGATTGTTAACAGAATTTACCCTTGACAACAGTGAGATTAGACACGCTAACGAAATCATTAACGGCAAAGGGTTTAAGGGCGATTAGATATACCTTAAAGGGTGTTTTAGTATATGGGGAATACCTCAGGGGGTGGGTTAAACATCTAATGTCCTTTTTTCTCTTTTCTCTTTTCATTTTATCAACTTTTTTCTTTTTGGATATCTTCTTGCCAGCATAGATGCTAGCTGTTAATGCTTCTGAAGATGAAACCACCGCTACTTAAGCATTTTATAAATTGTAAGTATCAAGCTATAATGATGTTCTTTAATTGTGCTTTCTTTTAAATTCTCATTATCGCTAGTAATATCTGATATCAAAATTAACATACAGTTGGGGGAAATTGATAGTAGGCTTAACTCCTTGAAGCCCTGCCCTTCATAAGTTGAACCTATAAGAGCAGCAATTGAAGTCTCCGATTGATGATTTGAGCTTTGGAATGTATCACTTATGCTATTTTGGTATGTTATTTTAATATTGGTATATTGTTAAGCAATTATTTTATCTTGTACGCCACCGCAATCTTCTTAAAATTCAAATATACACTTCCACTGTTAGTAATGCACTAAAAGATAAAAAAGAAAACATTACATTTATGATACAAGAAATTTGACTTTAATTTTGTCTATTACATTAGGACATTACGGCCATCAATAATACTAATACATGTCCAGATTATAAAATAAGGACTTCTGCAGCTAAATCATTTTAATATATATATATATATATATATATATATGTATATCTCTGTGTGTGTGTGTGTGTGTGTGTGTGTATGTACATAAATTTTTATAATTTTAGTTGATATGTGTGAATGTAAAATGCAAGTGATCAAAAACTACATTGCTATAAATACGAGGGATGAACTCCAAGAAGCTCGTTCGAACTCTTTAATTGAGATTTTCTCATTACCTTCCACCAGTTGAGGTTGCCTTTGGACTATCAACATTGCTTCACATTGTTGTTTATAGTTATACTCACTTTAATTGAGTAATTCTGTTGATTTATCATCTTATCTATCATTTCTTTTAGCACGAACAAGGTTTAGGTTGGTTTTCATGAATAACAAAACGGTTTGTTACTAGAGGGATTTGTTCATTTATAAAATCCTTATGTATTTTGTGAAAAATATAGAAAATGTTTAAACAGTGTTTGTTTAAATTATGTGTATTCAGAAAATAAACACGTGTTCAATATATTTGTTTGAAAATAATATTTGAAAAAAAAAAACATGTTTAATATGTTTTTTAAAAAACTTAGTATTTTAAAATAGAGTTACTTTAAGCAAATATAAGAACTGATTAGATGCCAGCATCGGTATCTTAACATATTCAAAATATCCTTTAATTGAATGTTATTTTGCTTGAATTGAAGAGTTTAAATAATTAAAAGTGGTAATCAAATTGATTTTGTGACTTCTCAAGAAAATAATTAAGGAGGGTTAAAAGTTGGAGAGAAAGCATTTGTAAGAAATAATAATTTTTATTTGTTTTGCTTGGTTTTTGTCTATGTAAGTATTTTTTGTCAACTTATGAATTCTATGTAACTACATTAAGTTCCCGATGTCAAGACATCCTATTGTTTATGCACAACCCTTTTTGTAGCCTTTTGTGGTCATGATACTCAATCTTAGTGTTGAGGCATTCTTCCAATCATATTTCCTTTTGTACAAGTAGCATTTTTGTTGGAACGTGGATTTCTTTGATGATGCTTGATGCGATTTCGAGCTGTTGGAGCTGAAGTGTATCTTTGGTGTTGAACCTTGAGTGGAGCTCAAGGTTGTCTAGGTGGTTTCCTGGTGAGAAGCTAGTTGTGGTAGAATGAAGTTCAACCAAAGGGTAAAGTTTAAAGTGTTGTCATAACAATGAATGTTTTACAACTCATGTTTAACTTTGCTTTGCAATTGAATTATACTTCATCTGAAGGAGGTCCCATGGATGTAAGCAATTAGCCAAACCATATAAAAATGATTTGTGCACTTTACATTATGTCAAAGATGTTTAGTTTATGTTATGATGAATGAACATGTTTAACCCATTCCACATGAGTTTAATGAACTTAGTAAAGTCATAAAACTTCCTGTATAAGTTTACAAATAAAAGTAAAAGTCAAAAGCTAAGTTTAACAATTATTATTTTTTATTTATTTATTATTTTTTTTTTTTGGTGAAAACGTAATACATAAATGCTAACCCAACATCTTCTTCATGCTTCCGCAAATTGAAAAATGAAAAACGTGATAATGAAAAAGTTGTTGAATGGCCTCAGATGATTTGGATATTATTTAAATAAAGATTAAAGTAATAATGGGAAATAATTTTTAGCCCCCTCTATTATTAATGAGTTCATAGAAGTATTTGTATCGTCTTTTTAAATTCTAAAAATTAAGAACTAAAATTTTATCATCCTACACAAAACCAAATCATCAAGAGTGTATTATTCAAAACATGCAAAAATATAGAATAGAGATATAATAATTACATAAGAGTTGGAAACTTGATTGTATTTGAGCAATAATAAATATGGTCTGATCTATTAAAAAAATCAATTAAATAAATTTGTTGAATATGTGTCTCAAGATTCTGCAGAAGTGTTGCTAACTTGGAAGTGCCGATTAGGTTGATGAGGTGGTAGTTGGGGAATAGGTGTTTCAGTTGCTGTTGAGTAAGTCAAGTTTTGAAGATGTCAAACTAGTTGTTGCTAGAAGTTAGGCATTAAGTTTGTTAGCTGCTCTTCATGTAAACATGCAGCATTTGTTTAGGCTTTTTTTCATGTTTTTTCTATTGCATTTATTTGTATAAATTACACTTTTCATTCAATGAAATTGTATACGAATAGCAGTCTATTTTTCTTCCTAAACACAAACCAAAACACCTCATCATGGCTATAGAAGCTTACTCTTCAACAGCACCACCCTTGTTTAATGGAGAGAGTTACGAGACTTGGGTTGTCGAATGACAACTCATCTGCAAGCTAATGATCTATAGGAGGTAGTGGAAGAAGACTACGAGATTGCACCATTGCAAAATAATCCTAAAATGGCTCAGTTGAGGAATCACAAGGAAAAGAAGACAAGGAAGTACCAGGCAAAGGCTTGCTTACATGCTGCTATGTCAGATGCGATATTCACCGGAATTATCAACTTAGAGTCAACAAAAGATATGTGGGATTTCTTCAAAGAAGAATATAAAGGGAATGACAAGATCGGAAACATGCAAGTGCTGAATCTAAGGAGGGAATTCCAAATGCAGAGATTGAAAGAATCAAAGACAATCTAGGAGTACTCTGATAGGCTTCTCAGCATTGTCAACAAGGTAAGACTTCTTGATTAAAAAATGTCTGATAGCAGAATTGTAGAAAAGATTTTGGTGACTCTTCCTAAGAGGTTTGAATAAAAAATATCTGCTCTAGAAGAGTCTAAGGATCTGTCAAGTATTTCCTTGGTAGAATTGTTGAATGCATTGCAGGCACAAGAGCAGAGGAGGCTGATTAGAGAAGAGGGATTTGTGAAGGGTACCTGCCAAGTTGCAGATTCAAGATGATGGCAAAGGAAAGGAAAATAATGGAAGAAAAAATCAAATAGGCCATAAAGGGGATGATGGAAATAGCAATGGAGGAAAACATCCTCCATGTTAGCATTGTGGTAGAACCAGTCATCCTCAATATAGGCATTAGAGGAGGCCTGATGTAAGGTGCAGGAAGTGCAACCAGATTGGCCATATCGAAAAGATTTGCAAGAACAAATGCAACCAGCATGAGAATGAGGCTCAGGTTTTAGACCAAAGGGAGGAGGAGCAGTTGTTTGTTACTAACTGTTTTTCAAGCAATAGCTCGAGTGATTACTGGTCGATAGATAGTGGTTGCACAAACCAAATGACAAATGATGAGGAGCTCTTCAGAGAGCTTGACAAATCTGCAATTTCCAAAGTGAGAATTAGAAATGGTGAACATATTGTTGTCAAGGGCAGAGGGACAGTGGCCTTTGAAAGCCTATCAGGTACTAAACTCATCACTAATGTTCTTTATGTGCTTGATATTGAGCAAAATTTGTTAAGTGTTGGTCAGTTGTTGGAAAAAGGTTTCAGAGTGCTCTTTGAGGACAAGAAATG